CGCTCTTCTGTGAAGAAATTGTTCCTAATGTCCAGTCTAACCCTGCCCTGTTGCAGCTTGAAGCCCTTCCCTCTTGTTCTGTCACTGATTACCTGTGAGAAGAGACCAGCACCAACCTCTCTGCAATGACCTTTCAGGCAGTTGCAGAGACTGATGAGGTCTCCCCTCAGCCTCCTCTTCCTCAAACTGAGCACTCCCAGCTCCTTCAAGCCTTCTTCATCAGATTGATTCTCTAGGCCCTTCACCAGCTTCATTGCCCTAATTTACCCAATTAGAAATGGCTGCACATTCATAAATTTGTATTTATCTATTAAAATACATTCCTGTCTCTTCAGCTTTTGGCACTCCCTGTATTGGCTGCATCTGCAAATGCCTTCCAGGTTGAGCAGGTAACACTTAGGTCTGATTTGCAATGTACACAAAAACAAAAGCTGAAGCCAAAATACTCCTCATCACTTTTACAGGCAGCAATTAAAAAAAAAAATAAATATGGAGGATCCTTCCCTTTCCTTCTATGCCAGGAGGACATTTTTGCAGTTTTTAGGTTGTAGAAGCAACTCCCTCATAGAGCACACAAATCCAAGACTGTTTTATTTATTAAACAGAAAAAAAGAACACACTCACTACCTGTTTTTTTTCCTTATTGCTCCTCCATAACTAATGTAGTCAGAGAATTACAGGACTCAGTTTTCAGAAGCCTATGTCTGTAATTGTGCCTGGAGACATGGTCATAGAACGTGGCCTTTAATCTGCCTGAATCTGCTGCAAAAGTCAATGTCCATCAGTATGAACACATTCCTCTAGCTGGTTTGTGCAAACATGGTGCATGATGCATGGACTGGGGTCACAGTGGCAAAAAAGCACAACAGAAAACCTTGTCCAGCACTTCAAGCTGCCAGCAAAGCTGGAAGAACTGACAACACTGTGGGCTCCGCTCACCTTTTACCTTCAGGTGAAATTTAGCCAGTGATGCTCCAGGTGCCACATGAATATCATGAAGCTCATCGAAGATCTGGGGCAATTGCTCCTCCTCAGTGGTAGATTCCTCCTGTTCACGGCTAAGAAGAAATTGTAATTAGAAAGTCAGCAAGCCAGAAAAGAGTTAGGAAGGAGAATAACCTATTTTAGATTAATTCAGTGTGTGGGTTTTGTCATCATGACAAGAGATTCAGCATCATGTGACATTACAAGCAATGGAGTGATCCCATGAAGAAATCTCCAGGCTAGCCTGAAGTTAGCCAGAGCAAGTTTGCACATGATAAATGTCCAGTTGTTGCATCTCAGCTGGTCTGTTTTTTCCTTTATGACATTAAACTGGCCCTGCTAGATATAGAAAAAAAATATGTCTTGGCATAAATACACATATTGACCTTATAAAGTCAGTTTGATATTTTTGATATTTTACCTTGAAATGTATTCTTTGGCACTGTAGTAAGAAGATGTCTCTGTTGCATCTGCTGCTGTCTCATAGTCAGTACTGGTCACTGTTAAATGGAAAAACAAATATTTTTTTAAAAGCATGGAAACATAGGCTGGTTTGGCTTAAAAGGGACCTTAAAGATAATCTAATTCACATGCCACCTATCATGGGCAGGGACACCTCCCACCAGCCCAGGCTGCTCCAAGCCCCATCCAACCTGCCCTTCAACACTGCCAGGGATGGGGCAGCCACAGCTTCTCTGGGCAACCTGTGCCAGAGTCTCACCACCCTCACAGTGAAATTATGTTATTTCTAATATCTAATCTAAACCCACCCTCTTTTAGCTTCAACTTGTTACTCCTCATCCTATCACTACCTGCAAAAAGTCCCTCTCCAGCTTTCTTCTGAGATTTGAAACTACTTTTCTTACTATAATTATAGT